CACACACACACACACACACACACACACACACACACACACACACACACACACACACACACACACACACAAAGAAAGCTCACCTGAGAGGAGAATAAGTGAGCACAGATGGAGGATCTGACCCTTGAACGTCTCGTCACCCAAGCCCACGAGCAAAACGTCGCGGCAAACCGTGATGAAGCTCTGGAAAAGTGCAGAAGAATTCTAACTTTTCACTGAAATTGTAGTTTATTTTGAAAGGGTTATAAAGTGGAAACTATAGCTACGTTCACACTGTAGGTAAATGCGACCCAGATCTGATTTCTTTATGACCGTCTGAACGCGACAATTCAGATTTTTTCAAATCTGATCCAGGCCGTTTCAGTATGTGGTTCTAAATCTGATACATATCTGATGTTTTCAAAGTGACCTCAGTGTGAACGCTCGTGTTGCATTCCATCTGACTTTTTCATCAGGGAGGAGGGGGTGAAGGATCAATAAGACACTAACCTCGAGTCACGCTGTTTAAATCTGTAGCTCCRTGTGTTTACAGCTCCGAAACAGAAGTCCAGTTGCTTCGTCTTTTTACTTTTCATTTTCCATGTGGATAGCATAATAGTAATGTCCAGCCTGGGTCGTGGAGCATATCGATGCTAAAGTTAATCGGTCGATACTTTATTTCCAGCTTGTTGTTTTGTTCCAAAATAAAAAGCTTCACCGGAGCATCCGGTCAGAGGCAGGTTCAGATATAAACACTGAACTAAACAAGCAGGTCATATTATTTAATCAGCTCTGATTAAATAACTTCAGATTTGACGTGTTAAATTTAGCATCCAGCTAACTCTGTAAACAAACAAGCCGGCTGATGAGACGTCACATCTTTTACTGCGCATATGGGTCACTTTAGTGCCGTGTGGAGCGTTCACACAGGAGTCTGAAGCAGGGTGCTTTTAAAATATAATATGAACGTTCACAAGATGTTCAAAAGATTGGATTTTTTTCAAAAAATCTAAATTGAGCATTAAGTCCTGCAGTGTGAACGTAGCCTATGGTTGCAGGTGAGCTCAGATTTTCTGCCAGAATACATGCATGTCTCTCACAAAACAGGCAACTGTCCTAATTTATTAACATCCAACATCTTCTAACATCTTTATCTTCCAATGTCTGAATGTAGTCATGAAAATGAGTCCATATTAGCATGGTGATTTGAGCAGAACAAAATGTAAGTGTGTGCTTCTGTGTGTGTGTGAGACAAGGCAGAAAAATCAATGACAATTCTAAATTTATGAAGCAGAGTTGAAAGCCCCAAAAGGAGGAGGCGGGAGGCAACCAAACATTCAGAATAACAAGATAACYGTGTGTTTCATCTTGATCCAGTCTATGTACAGGAGCCAAAGTGGATCTGATAAAAATCAAAAGGTGGCTTTTTTTTCCCTTTCCCCCTCAAACAGATATGATTAAATCTGCCTGCTGAGAATCTGTGGAGCTTGCTGCGACAACACACCATCTATTCCCATTATTCTCTTCCACGATTTAAACAAAAATGCAGAGCGTCTGCTCAAACAGGTTTGATATTGGTAGTTCTTTCAAAGTGACAGGAACACCTGTTGGTCTTATAACGTGAGAAAAGATTAGCTTTTTATGCATGGCAGCAACAGCAGGTTCTGCTATCCATCACACTTTATGACGGGTGAGAAATTTCAATCTCTGCTACAGAGACGAGACACTTGATGAAATCAAAACAAAGTATTATGGCTTCAGAAACTGTAAACGTCTGGCGAGGTTTATTGAAAACTGCTTTTCTTTTGATAGTTACAGTCTCCTAATGAAAAGCGGATGTCACAACATATCAACACAGGTTCTGAAGCTATATGTTAAGTAAATTAAGTGATAACTCACCTCTGTTATCTGTATGGCGAGCTGCTGAGACTTCTCAGAACCCTCACCATCACTTAAAGGTTTGGTAAAAAAGGGCAGCACCCTGTCTGTAACCCACGCTGCCATGTGCTCCAGAGAGAGCAGGTAATCCCGACCTTCTGTCAGCTGAAAAATAAAAAACAACAACAAACTCTAATCTCTACTTTAACTTTCCTTGCAGCTGAAGACAGAAGGAGCGGACTCGTCGCCAGAAAGAAATTGGCTTCAAAATTGGTCATCTGGAGAAATGTGTCAGAAACAAACAGAGTAGCTGCTAAGAAAAAAAGAAAAATCTAGCTAACAACCGTTTTCATTATCTCATAATCTGCTGATGATCTTTTAAGTTCAATTTGCTTAAACTTAGTAATAAATTCCTAAGAAGTCTAGACAGTTTTAATGTCAGTTCCAATTCAAAAAGAATCTAATCCCTTGATATTACAGAGAGTGCTCATTTAAAATTCACAACTCAGTGTCTCATTACAAAAACTTGCAACTTCAGACACGCAAAACTAGACTGTGGTGGGAAACTTGCGAGCACAGAATGAGAAGAATGAAGACAAGAAGAGACACAAACTAAATATGGACACTTGCGTTGTGCTGCAGATGTGCACCGAGTCGACCGTGGACCATAAAGGCTTTCAGCGCCGTCTCTGTTTTGGGATGCTGAGGGTCTTCTGTGGTCGAGGTGAGGTGAACGTACAGCACTGACTGTCGAGAGAAACGACCCACAGAACACACCTCTTACAGAAAATATTATCATCAGTTACTTAAATGAACAAAATAATTCACCGTTCTACCTTCCAGTTGCCTAGGATTGTATGGAGCTGCTTCAGAGGGCCCTGACCAAGAGCCAAGACTTGCTCACGTGTAGAAGTGTGGCTTAAAAGGTAGTCCAGGTAGGCCAGCGCCAGGTCTGGTTTGGCCTCCACGGTCTCCTGAATACGCACCTTTCTGCTTTTGGTTACCTTCTCCTGAAGTTCGTGAAAAGAAACTTTTACAAAAAGAGACATGTCCAAAACTGAAAACGTGTGTTGCGTTGACTGACCCCTTGTTTGGGCAGGGACTCTGTGAGCCAGTCAGTGATCAGTTCCAGAGCGTCAGAAGCCTGACCCCAGCTGCAGATGCAGTCCAGCAGCGGACCGAACTGTACCGGATCGGCTCCCGAGTCCATCCTCCTCAGTCTGGACAGGACTCCGCAGCTAGGATGAGAGACCCAAGACGAGTTAAGAGTTACAATAAGGCGATGTTACCAATAATAAATAAATAAAAAACAAAGAAATAACACGTTGCTGCTCACCTAAATGTTGGAACTGCGGCTGCGGGCATAAATGAGGCCAACTCTATAAGAGGAACGATGCATCGCTCATCCTGTAAAAAAATATTTTACATCTAGAATCATTTTCCTCAAACAAATTAATTTGTGTTCAAAAAAAAGAAKGTACCTCAAAAGTCTGGAAATACTTGGCCATGACATTTCCAAACTTAGCAGAGATGTACTTGTGCGCCTCCTCGTTTTGCTTTAGTGCCTTTTTAACACTTTCCCACAGGATGACCACGATCTCCAGCAAACTGGCCACAACAGACATGTCTTGWCCCAAGGAAAGAGGCCCACCCTGCTAAATTAGAAAAAGAGCATTTTCAGAAACAAATACACAAAGTATACACACCCTGAATTCAGACATTATTTTAATGTTACTTCTAATCATGTCAGGTTGTGATATAGCAGACATTTATTCAATTCAAACAATATATTCATTTCATTAAAAAAATAACTATATACAATAAAAAAAACAAAGAAAATACACAAATCAAATATCAAAATAAAATGAAATGTAGCAGATTAGCAGCAATTTATACATTTTATATACAATTTATTTTAACACGCTTTTGTTAATTTGTTTACTTTGTGTTAATGTGTTTTATTGGTTGTATTTCTGTAGAAGAGGTCTTTCTTGCAAATGAGACAATTGTGTTTTAATGAGACTTACATGTATAAATAAAAAAAGGAAATTAAATTAATTTATCTTTTTTTTTTGGAAAAACAGGCAACTAGGAATGTATCGATTCACGTAAGCCCTGATTATTGACTAAGTTCACATATAAGATTTTTTTCCCCAACAAAATGAATTGTAGTTGAATAGCCCTTTTGTAAGGTACGTCTTTAAGACAAATTCAGTTTAATACTTGATAAGTTTTGGTCACAAAATGATTTACAATGACATTTTTATTTGTTTTGAAGTGATATTCTGTTACTGAGACAACCGAGAGTTACAGTTTGATACAAGGACCATAACACTGATGTTAAAAGAAAAGAAATATATTTGGTTATAAAATGGCTACAACTCATTTTGTTGGGGAAAAAAAAATCTTATATTTGTGAATTTAGTCAATAATCAGGGCTTAAGTGAATCGTCACATTCAAAAACAAAAATAACACATTCTGCCTGCTGTTTAACACAAATATTATGACATCTCTGATTTACTAAATTTTTTAAACCAATTTTATTTTCACTTTCATAGTTTTATCTTCAACTGCTTGTAGTTTTAACTATCTTAGACAATCACAGAAATGTTTTTTACCCGCTTTTAACCAAGATTCTGACGTTTCTGTACATAAACATGTCTATGTCCAGCTAAAACAAACTTATAGGAATTAAAGTAGAAAACCGGGGGAATTGGGCTTAAGAGATGAATGAACCAATTGATGGGCCGAACTTTGATGACATGTGGACTGGATGTGGCCCGCAGGCCGCCGGGTGAATAGCCCTGCCTTATAACAATACAAAGAAAGATCAGTTAACTATGATTTCATGAATCAATTCACATTTTCAGCAGTTATAATTGATTATTAATCAATTCTCCATTAATTGTTACAGGTAACATAAACAAATTATATGAAACTAGGGATGGTCAGTGATTTTTTTAGCATTCCAAATTTAGTTAAAATGAGTGAATTCAAAGAAATAAACAACACAAGAGCACCATGTTTTAGTCATAGTAGTTTATTTTAACAGGATTGTAATGGTGGGGGTCGGGCAGTGGGTGGGGTGTGAATATTTGAGTATAAATTAAACAACTGAAGATGAATTTAAAAAGTGTTTTCTGCTTAAAATATAAATCATTAACAAAAACAAAAAAAGTCTTATATAATAATGTTGAAGCTTCCAAATCTTTTGTTTTAGGTTAAATGTGATCATTTACAAACGATTTGTCTGTTCAAACATCAAACTGTATTTGTTTTGTTTTGTCGTCTCACCATGCTGTTCTCCTTGTTGCCGTCGTTATTTTCTGTCACATCACAGTCCACCTGGATGCAGCTGTTCAGACAGCGACGGATAGCCAGCATAAACTTTACTGAGGAGAAAACAGAATTATACACAATCTTATAACAGAAAATACAACATGTAAATACATTCATTTTCTTTTTTAAACTAGTTTGCACTTACTTATGTTAGTGGGTGCTGTGTGCTTGTGAATGTGTTGGTAGAACTTCCTGGCAGCCATGGGGTTCATCTGGATGAGTGTGATGCACCGGCAGCACCACTCCTTCTCCGACTCGTTGACGGGGAAGAAAGACTTGAAGAGCAGCTCGACAACTCGCTTTGAGACCGAGTGTGAGTCTATAGCCAGACGGGCCAGAAGGTGGTCCATGTTACACACGTCCCAGAACTGGAGATTAGTACATAACAAGTTTTAGGAAATGCAAAAAAAAAAAACCACCATTCACTTTAACCAACATGTTGCCTGTTGTTCTTAATTTGGTTAAATTACAGCTGGATTTGTGACAAAACAAAAGTAGATATTTGCTAAAACTTTTCAGATCATTTTTTCTTCAGTACGTTTTTTAGCATCTAACTCATTCCACTATATTGGCACTATTTCAACAATTCATATATCAAAACATTCAGCTCATTCATGTGAGGGGTGCTATGACTTTTGGTATTTCAGCTATCTATACTTTTTTAGCTATTTCACTTATTTAGCCACTGTTTTGCCATTGAAAATGAAAGGAGCTCTTTTCAACATCCTTAAAATAGTTTAAAGCTAAATACACATTTTTTGTAGCTATTATAACTTTTTTCAGCTAAGGTTAGCAAACTTGTGCTCCTTATGCTAATTAAACAATTTCCAGATACTTTTTAGCTGCATTACTGAAAATTTCAGATGTTTGTTATTTTACTACACATTATCATTTTTATGTTATTTTACGTTTTTTCTGCCCTTTTTTTTTCCTGTTTTAGTTATTTTTCAACTGGGTGCGTGCTACTTTCAAATTGTGGCTGCTACCTTTAGCTTATTTTATGCTAATTTTAGCTACATTATGCTACTTTAGCTATTCTGCTTTTTTCTACTTTTAATACTTTTTTACTGCTACCTAGTGCTATTTATGCTTCTTACAAATGTTTTCAGCTATATTCACCTATTTTAGCTCTTAGCTTTTAGCTGTTTTGTTTTCAACTAGATTTGTGCTTCTTWTTACTGTTTTTCTGCAAAGTTAGGCTTTTTTGCTTCTTTCAGTTTTTCAACGTGAGCTCACTTTAACACTTTTTCTATTAAATATTTTTCAGCTTATGTTTTCAGCATGGAGCATTCACACTAGCATTTTCCCAGGAAATGTAATTTYTCTAGTTTGAATAAAGTCCAAATGCAGTGGGTTTTAAGAATTCAAGAGAGGTAAAAAGAACAAAGTACCTTGGCAGCACGAACTGCTTTCACCTTGATGAGCAAGTCAAGGAAAGCAGTGCGGACTTTCTCTGAGTTATCGTGAAGGCTGTACTTCAGAGTGGGCAGGAGTTTCTCCAGCAGGGGGTGGCTGAGAGGATTGTCCAGAACAAGAACCAAACACTAAGGAGGAGAAAAAAAGAAAACATGAAACACCATCCTCTGTAAACTCGTCTTATATTTGAGATTCATCACTAAGAAAGAGAAACGAGTGTTTCTCAGCAGAGGTGAAGAACCGTTGTTTTGTTTTCAAGCYGAAAGCGGGCGTGCTACCTTGAAGACTGAGCAGCGGACGTCGGGGCAGCTGCAGTCGGCAGCGAGCTCCGTCATTAGCTTCTTCATAAAGTCTGTGATGACTGTTGGTGGGAGGAGCTCCCAGCACTTAGCCAGGATCTTACAGACCCCCAGGGTGGCATTAGAGCGCACGGTGGGGTGAGGATCATTAAGGAGGTCCTGTGCAAAAAAAAGAAGCTATTTTCCCTTTCTTTACAACAAAAAGTGAGGCTAAATTTGTTAAGCGGAATCCTACCATTGCCATATCCAGCTGTTTCTGGATGTTCAGGTCTATATTCTCGTTGCTTTCATCCGGGTCGTGGATTGGGAAGGCCTCGGTGAAAAGCAGAGTGGCATTTGCTCGCACCTCAAAGTTAGGARCCTGCAAACAGGATGGCTTTAGGCTACAGAGACACACAATAATACTAATATAATCACAGTAACATGTGTTGGCATACTTTGAGAGCTTTCCAGAGTATTGGCTTGTAGAGATTATAAAGCATCGTGTCCACGCTGTGACAGCCCTTTCTTGAGTGGAAATAGCTCACAATCTACATGAAAGCAAGCGCAGCAGGAAAATCAGCACACTCCATAAGCAAATGAGACCTAGATCCTTAAAATAAATATTATTGAAAGCTACTTCAAGGACTTACTTGTCTGACTTTGGAGTGAACAGGTGATGCTCTGTGCAGAAATATTGCATTCCGCATAAAATCCTGAATGCACACGCTCTCTATCTTCTCCAGGAAATCCCCTGTGGCTTTCTTCCATGCTCTGAAGTAGATCTCAGTAATGTGAGTAGCTATGATCCTGGAGGAAAAAAAAAAAACGAGGGGGAGTATTTAACATGCATCAAAAACTAAACCGTGTAACTGAGACCAAAATGTCTTTCATACTTGTTGTAAAACTCCAGCTGGTTTTTGATCGTGCCATGAATAACCCAGATAAAATCGACACTCCAGCTGAAAAGAAACACCAGGAATCGCTTCCCCTGAAAAGGTAATAATATACACGTGATGAGGCTGACGGCTCCAGGACAGAGCCACGACTGGAACCAGCTCGACTCACGTCATCGTTTCGAATGAAAAGAGGGCGGTGAAAGCACTGAAGCAGCAAGTCGTTAATTTGCTTGTTGTCTTCTGACGTGTAGTCCAGGCTCAGAAGCACATCATGGAGACTCCAGACTCTTTGAATCTCAGCTCCCTGAAATAATAACGAATATTGAATATTGGGATATTGAAAAACCCTATTGGCTCTTAAGTCCTGTTTCTTTAGAGTGGAGATGAGCAACTGACAGCCCACACCAGGCCCACAGGTGAATTCCACTTGTCCCACCAATGAGGCGCCTTCTTTTTCAGGAGGTAGACTATCACAGAATTTCAAGGCAAACCTATGTGTTTATGCTTAGAGACGCTGCGTTAAAGGATTACAATACAAGTCGTTGCACAAAGCTAAATATGAGAACTTACTGAAGTCACAAGTACAAAAACAACTGTGACTTTTTACCAGAAGCAGAACCACGCAGGAGTCTACACTCAACAGGTCTTCCTTCAGCTCGCTAAATTAAGTTTTTACTTTTGTTTGCTTCAAATGTTTTGTATCCATATTCAGTGTTTCCCCTACCATTAYACCTTCTTGCTGTGAGGCGTAAGAGCTAACCATAACAATACAGTAAATATACTGACTGGTTTCTTTAAGATGAAGCTCTTCTGCAGGGAGATGAGGAAAGCGGCGCGCCCAAATTTCTCCCGCTCCTGCAGCCCGTTCTTCCACCAGGCCTCAAACAGAATCTGTAAGAGGAGCTGCAGGGGAGCCTCTGACACAGGAAGTGACATCAGAACGTCTGACGGATAAAAACAAAAACAGAAATCATCAAAAACATACCCTTAAACGACTCTTTCAACTCCAACATACTGTACAATCTAGTATTAAAAACAAAAATCTGCTGGGGATTTTAGGTGTAAAAAGGAAACCTTTAGGAATCAATATTTAAAAAGATAGTGAGGCTTCTGTGAAAGAGTTTAAGTTATCTAAAACTGTACTTAAAGAGTTGTGATCATGACTATTACATATTCTATTTCAATTTCCATTCATATTTTTCAAGGTGGTAATTTTTATACGATTTTATTTCATAATTTTATGATCAACTGCAGTGTTATTGTTTTTGTTTTGTTTTTTTCCCTTGAATTTTGATCTGTATTTTTATGGTGCAAATACAATTAAACTAAACTAAGCATTGTTTTTCTAAAGTTAACACTTTCTATTAAACAACTAAATATAATACAATTAAATATAAATCTGATCAACTTAAATCGTAAAAGAAGAAACTCACCGTGAAGCATGTGGGCAATTTCCAGAAGTGGGCTGTAGGTGTCCCCATCTTGTAAAACCTTCAGAGATWCAGTGGCTACTAATGTCACACCGTTCACAACAGCTATGACTTGTTTCTGAAAGAAAAGAAAAGATTGTAGTCACYGTACTTTTGTACAAGATTCTGGTGACAGCTTTACATGCAGCAGCAATAAAAACAATAAATACAACAGCATTATTTAAACACGTAAAAAACATTATAATAAAAGTATATTGCCTCACATTTTAAAATAAATTCTTTTCGTTTATAAAAAAAAGGCTTTGTTGTATGAAATGCTCACAAGAAGCAGACAGGACTTTGTGATTTGTGAATRAAGTACAGTAAAGACACTTGAAGTGACTCACAGGGTCTGCAGCTGATTCCTGCTGCATGTCCTCCTCCCAGCGCTCAGGAGGCAACTCCAGCAGGACGGCCCGAAGGAGCGACCCCAGCCTCCTCCAGAGAGCCTCCCTCTGCTCCCTGGACATCTCCTGCAACACCTCTTCCACATCAAAAGGCTCGGTTTTGTTCTTCTGCTCGGCGGCACAGACAAGAAGTCACATTTTGATTTTTAAGGTTTTCCACAGAGACATTCACACATAACTAAATATTTTTTGCTTAGAATGGTATTGCATTGGCCTCATACTGTCAAAGAACCTGGATTTCAACRAGGTCATACCATTGAACTCAAACATATAAAAACTTTGAGACTGATTCAAAGTTTTTTAAAATGCTACTGAAAAACTCAGGTCAGGGTTCGTMTCATTTCTTAGGTGGAATGTTTCTACAAAAGAATGTTTTCATTCTGAGAAATACCTTTACAAATGTAAAATGCTGGATGAGAGAGCTGTTAGAAATGTGAAAAAAAAAAAAAAGACATTCAATATTTCACAAAAGCTTTCTCTTTATTGGCTCCAATAAATAAGCTCCAAAACATAACAGCATGACATCTGAAAATATAACTTTATATTTTAGATGGAGGGATTTTTATGTGGCAAATTTTCAACAAGATCTTCAGTTATTAAGCTAATCTCATGTAAACGATTTTAAAAGTGGAATATTTAAATGCATCTATGGTTTTAGTTTTGTTTGGCCCATGTTTTCCATAATTAAKTTTCTGAAGCCAGCTGGGATATCTCACTGCTCTGCTTGCATTTATTTGCATGYTATTTAGTCTACCTTGTTTTTCTTCACTGGCAGCCCTGACAGAAAAGCTGCTCTGATGTTTCAAATGTATTCCAAAGAAAATGAAGTTTTACAGATAGTGATGTGGAGCAGTAGTCGTAGTTGTTGGTTACTTACATGAAGCTGAATAAAGCGAAGGAAGTCCTCAACGTTTTCCTTACAAGCAGCTTCTAAAAACGTCTCCCGCTTAGACATGATTTCTGCGATACAACATTCAGAAACTTTAGATGTTTACACCGAACCCAGACGTTTTGACGAAACCAAAACAAACATGGCTACCCCGTCGGTCTGTCTGCCGGTTAGCTTAAAAGTGTTATTTCTAAATGTACGTCCCGCACTGCTCTCTGAACACTCCTGAGTAGACTTAAATCCATTAAAATATTAGATGAACATACATTTACTTCATTTATTACCTTTGTTTTAGTTTGGAAGTTGGGAACAGGAAAATAACAGCCTCTACCTTCCGCGGTAAACCCGCGCAAATTTTGTACGAAGTACGTCATTACGTCGAACACGAGTTTCTCACGTTGACGTTAAAGTGTTATTACCACCAATAGCCACACGATGGCGACAAACCACAACAGATTAGATCTTTTCTGTGCGGCAATCTTAGCTCAACAGACGGTTTAATACTTTTAACATGAACGTTCATTATTTATTAGAATAATACYAATACAAAAAATACTTTTCAAAAATATTTATTCATAAAAAGTCACGAGGCATCAGATATTTTGAAATAATGACATTTTCAAAGGATAAAAAAATCACATCTTGGGTTTTTAAGGCACAGGATAGATGACAAAAAAATGCATTGTTCAAAATACAGTTACACTTCATTGCAAAACATATACAAGCATATAGACAGAGATGCATCTTTACACGTTTCCCCATCTAATAATAAAATGCAATCATTTTTGTCTTTGTTTATACTTCTTTTGTTTGTGTGACTCACATTTGGACTGAGAGCACTCAAACCCTTTTCAAGTATCCTTTATGACAACTTCTGTAGTGTACAGCACTTGTTCATAGCCCTAAAATGCCCCCYTTCTGTGTCTGAGACAAATATAGCCATAAATATTGTACAAATCCATTAAAATAAAGTGAGCACATTTCACAATTTGCACACATGCATTTTATGTTTTTAAACAGGCACAAAGACCAAGAAGAGGTAAACAATCAAATAACACTGCAGAACATAAAACATATAAAACATTTTTAACACAAAACAAAAAAAATGCTACTTTTCTTTTAATAACTCCTTTGGTTAGTTTTCACAAACAAACAACAAAAGAGACTATTTCACATTTTGTAAAAACAAACTGAACAGAAATTTCAATAATTTAGACAGGATTCTATAAAATTTTCCCTTAGGTAAACATTATACCGTGGAAAACCCTGCAATTTATTTTGAAACTTGTGTGTGTGTGTGTGTGTG